GGGAGTGGAAAATTTTTGAAAATTGTACCTAAACGGCATAGAAGCTATACTGCTGGTTTTAAGCTTAATGTAATTTCACGTGCTGAACAAATTGGAAATAGAGCAGCAGTTCGAGAGTTTGAAGTGGATGAGAGATGTATTCGACATTGGAGAACTTAAAAATATGCCACAACAGAAACGAGCCAAAAGAAGTGGAACTGTAAGGTGGCCGAATCTAGAGGACGACCTTGCAAACTGGATAAAGGAGCAACAAAAAATAGGAATGCCAATTTCAACTGTAAAAATTCGCTTACAAACAAAATTTATAGCAAAGCAAATGAACATAAATGATTTCAAAGGAGGGCCTTGCTGGTGTAGCAGATTTATGAAAAGAAAAAATATTTCTGTGTGTACTAGAACAACAGTCGGGCAACAATTACCAATGGACTGGCAGGATAAAAAGGCATCTTTTCTAAAATATGTGACAGATATTATTGACAAAAAAAAAAAAAAGAAAAAAAAAAAAAAAAGAAAAACTTCTTCGGTCACAGATAATAAATATGGATGAAACGCCGTTAGCTTCTCGACTCTCCTGAACTGTTAATAGAAACTGGTGCAAAAACTGTATCTGTGCTTACGACGGGGCATGAAAGAACGTCATTTACATGTGTGTTAGCTTGTGCCGCAAACGGTGACAAGCTGAAGCCGATGATCATTTTTAAACAGAAAACTATTCCAAAGGAAGATTTTCCTAATGACGTAATTATATGTGCAAACGAGAGCGGCTGGATGTGCGAAACAGTCATGCATGAGTGGCTACAAAAAGTTTGGCAGTATCATAAGGGATCTTTTTTCCAACCAAAAGGGTTATTGATAATGGATTCCGTGCGTGCTCATTTACTTGAGTCGGTGAAAACCAGATGTTAAAAATTGTCTACGACCGTAGCAATAATTCCTGGTGGTTTGACAAAAATCTTACAACCATTAGATTTGTCAGGTAATAATTCCTTCAAAGCTGAAGTCCGAAAGCGATGGGAGTGTTGGATGAGTGAAGGATTGGCATACATATACCAAAAGTGGTAAAATTCGTAGAGCATCTTGTGAAGAAGTTGCAAAGTGTGTAGGAAGTGCGTGGAAATCTGTAAAAACATCGTCAATAATAGCAAGGTTCAAAGAAGCTGAAATTATATCTTTAGATAAAGAGACTGTAAACCAAGAGGATGAATGTGACTATCTGGAAGACTTGGATCAGGATTTATTAAATCTTTTTAATTCAGATAGTGAAGAATCAGATTTTGATGGCTTCATGTGATGTATAGTTTGCTGTAATTCCTTTTGTAAGTAAAATTTAAAATTTCCTTTTGTAATCCAAATTTAATATTTCCTTTTGTAATCCAAATTTAATATTTCGTTGTTGCAACATTTTTTATAATATAGTCTGAGTATTACAAATATGGACTTCTTTAGTTTACTTTAAATATAAGTATATTCGTGAACGTAAATATATTTTCAACATTTCTTACCTTTAATTTATTTTTGAGTTATGTTTTCATTTCATGCATTTTTCTTAACTGATATGTCATATATCAGGACATAGGTTGAGATTTTGCATCTATATGGCCCACGACGATGTCACACGCAATTTGATCTATTCCGGCGTTTCTGTGTAATTTTATTTTTTTCCCGCCATTTTTCTTGAGTGCGGCGTTTACGCTGATGCGGCCTTTCTTCCGAAAATTACGGTAGTTCGTCATTGCTTACTCGGCACCACAATGCATCCATATTTGATTGAGTACTCAGCAACGATGTTTGGTCCAGTATGATACACCTAGGCATTCCAGACATTGGTTATCACCACAGGACCCTGTGCCTCGCACAATGAGACCTTTTCTCCACCCACACAAGATCATGCTTTGTTTCTGGTGGACTAGTCACCAATTGGTGCACTAATGAGCGCCTTCCAGTGGTCCAAACCATCACGGCAGGCATGTACTCGCAGAAGTTGTTATGTGTGCATCAGACACTGATGCATAAAGAGCCAGCATTGGTCAATTGTAAGGGTGTATTCCATTTCCATGACAATTATATGAGGCCGCATGTATCTCGTGAGGTCAGGAACACCATCCAGCGACTTGCCTAGGAGACACTATTCCATCCACCATGCTTCCCAGACCTCATGCCAACAAACAATCACCTTTTCCATTCCCTGGACAGCCATCTTTGTGGGAAATCAACAACCAACCAGACTTCGGAAAGGCCCTCATGTACTTCTTTGTGACCAAGACTCCTGAGTTTTACCGCGATGGTATCACATAGCTACCCACTCGTTGGCAAAAGGCACTGGATGCCGATGGTGATTACTTTATGATGGTTATTTGCCGATGAGTATTATTTGTTTTATGAGTTTTTCTTTCTGTCTGTCCAAAACAAACAAGAACATTTTTGGTTACCTTGTAAATTCTGTGAAATGTTGGTCACTTTCATGGGTGGATTCACTGTATTTAAATTGTAATGTTGCTTTAAAGAGCTCTGTGTTTTAAGAAGTTAGGCATACAGAATTTATCTGCTAGGGGGTAGATGTCTTCATAGAGGATTTTCTAAGGAGACTTCTCTCATATTCACATTTATGCATGGGAAAATGAAGAAAATTCATTTTAAGAGAGAGATCTCTTGAAAGACTAGTGAATTTCTTTGAATTACAAATTTATGTATGGATAGCTTTTCAAAATGTTTATTAACCAAATTATGTGAAGATTGCAATTCTTTCTTAAATGTTCAAATAGATATTTTTTAATTAAAATATATTCATTTTAATTTGTCTCTTTATATGTTTTTAAAACAATTTTTCTATGAAATTTATAGTGTAAATCAGCACTAATTGGTGTAGATGTTTGCAGTTGGAACGTGTGGCAAGCTTTCATATAAAAGTTGATATTGAAAGGAGTTGAAAGTTTTACTCCATATGAGCAGAAATATTTGCACATTGTTAAATGCATAAAAAAACCTAAATTTACTGAAGAAAATCAAAATTAAAAAATCTTTGTTTCAACTATGATCTCATATTAACCGCATTCTTTGAGCAAGTTTAGGTGTATGTTATTATTATTAAAACTTGTTTAAATACTACTAACATATGCTTAATACACTACAGTCAAACCCTGATACAATGAATGAACCATATTTATATGTCTGATGAAGGATGGCTCTGCAAGACAGGTAGAACGGAGTAGGAACCAATATCTAGGAGGATGAGGATAAAGTAAGCACATCTTAGGACACCATGTGACCATTTAACCAAAGAATCTCGATGGGTTTTTCAATTTTATTCAAATTCCTTGACTAGGCTGTCAGGCAGAGCTCTATTCAAGGTTGATGCTACAATGGAAATTTTGAAATTTTTGTAATCCAGGATAGGAAGGTTAAGGATTTGGAGTTTAATTATAGGAAGCAGCTGGTTTTAAGTATTTTGGAGAAGTACAACAAACATATCGATTACGATTGTTGTACTTCCCCAAAATGATAAACTTCTCACTTTTTGATGGAATGTTAATACTAGAAAAGTTTTAGCGACTCGTTACAGAGTCAACTATCTGAAACTGGTTTAGGTATTCTGATTAGCAAAGGATGTTGAAGAGAAAGATGAAAATGGAGATTTGCAAATCTTTAATTAAAGTGGATTGAAAAAAAAAAAAGCATTTAAGTTTTTTTGTATTATATGATATGGAGTTTTTCAATCATGCAAATGGTAATTTTATTCCATGCAGAGATCCAAGTATTGAAAATCCTGTGGCAGAAATTGAAATGAGAATTGCTGACATGGCATTTTTCTTTTGATGTTAATGAAAATGTTGAAAAAAAGCAACCCACAGAATGTGAATTCCTTGCCATAAAGATACCAAGGCTGTAATGCATTCGATTATTAGGGTTTTAATCGCATAAATTGTAGACCAAAAGTGATGGAATCTTTTCATTTTGGGGACAAAAATATGAATATTTTCCTGCAGTTTACATCATGCCAACAGAAAATTAGATTATTTTGGTACTCAGAAGTTAAGTAAATGCTAAAGAAAAATTTGTCAGTATTTTGTGTTATTCATTTCTAGTATTTAATACTTTCAGGGGTAAAACAATAATTATAAATGTGTAATTCAATAGAAGAATCAAAGCCACGATATTTATGCCAATCAATGTATCATGTCAAATTATCAGCATACAGAGAAACTGGAAAAGAATGAGCAATAAATTTAGTAACTGTGTAAAATAATGACTGTGATTGAATCTAAATATTATTTTTAGAAATAACATTTCCCCCTCCTCCCCATCTTGAGGTAGATGTGACAATGTTAATCTTTTTATTTATTTATCACTCAGTTTTTGCACATTTGTATCAGATAATGAATTTTTCCTTTTGAATCAGATGTGTAGTGAACAGAAATTCTGATCCCTTGAAGTTCATTATAGTGGGGTTCGACTATGTTACTAAGACTTTTCTTTTTCATTCAGTCAAATACTTAGCTTCTACCCTTAATTAATGATTGAAGCTTAAAATGATTTTTAAAAAATAGAGTTTAAATAAATACAGAAAGAAATCAGCTGAAGATATATAAAATGTTGGCATATTTATATAACTTTAGTTCTTAATTTACAGTTCTAATACTTCACATTTCCATTCCATTGATACGAATAATACAGACTTTGATGTTTTTAATAAGTAGAAAAGTCTCTCTATATATAATATATATATATATATATAATAAAGTTTCTTTCAGATACAAATTATCAAAAAAAAATTTTATTTTTGAAACAAACTAGAGTATAATTCAACAAATAATTTTAACATTGAGCAAAGAGTAAAAATGAAGGAGAATTTTCATTGCCTATTGGATGAACTGATAGTTTTTTAATATACAACTTCTGCATTTTTAAAATAACCTGCTGCAGTAATTGAAATTCAAAAGTGCATTTTGCAATCACATCATCATAATTTTCAGATTATGTCTGAAAATTCTGTTCATTTCTAGGCAATGTTTAAAAAACTTCCATTGTACTTAGTGAATTCTCATCTTGAAAGTACAACTGAGGGTTTCCAGGAAAGAAAAGAACAGTTGCAGCTTGTGTTCAGGAAAGTGTTATCTGCACCTGAAGAGCATACAGTGATCTTTGCTGGTGATTTGAATCTTAGAGATAAAGAGGTACTGTCTTAATGTAATTGCTTTTCTTTTAACATTGAAATAAGAATTTTTTAAAATGCTAGTTACTTGACTTGCTCTGATATAAATTTCCAGTAAATTTTATATGTGATGTATGTTTAAAACGTGATGCACTATTTGCAAAATATTCTCTGCCTTCCCTTTTTTTAAATGTTAATTACATTTTGCAAAAAGTCTGGATTCGAGTTTTGTACTAGTATATGGTTTGTTTTAAAAGTAAAAGCAAAATGGCTGCTTGCCCCCCTTTTTTTTTTTTTTTTTTTTCAAATATTCTTTTCATTATTTATTGCAGTTAAAAAAACTAATATATAAATAATTAATAAATATTTTGGCTATTGATTTCTGTATCTCAGAACAATGGTTCTAATTTTTTTAATGATATACTATAATTTATAATAAATCGTCAAAGTACATTCTATGTTAATTTCCAACACTGCAGATTAGTTTCTGTACAAACATGATTTAGCAGTTGCTCATTTATAGGCTTGAAGTTATAAGCTGATTCCCCCACCCCATATTTTAGCACATATTGAGGTTGATTGTTTCTTTGACTGCATCCTTTTTCTATTCATTTTAATAGTTGGTTTTTTATTGTTTTTTTTTACTAGTTTCAGCTTATTTTTAATTTTGATGTAAGTCTGGAAAATGTCTGTGCAAGGTAATGGGAGCAAAACCATATTTAGCACAGGAAGAAACTTTTGTGGTACTTAATGACAAGTGCATTAAAGAGGTTGTGTAGAAATAAGTGGGAAATATTATAAATCAGTGCCGAAGAGTTCTCCACACTTTAATAGGATTGTCACACTAAATGAATGAAAGGGTAATTTTTTTTTGGGGGGGGAGGGGAGTAAGGTGCAAATAAATATTTCTATTCCAGAATTCTTAAATACAGTATTTTTAACAAATTTTAAAATTTATTTATTTGGATGATAAATTTTTTATTGCAGTGAAACTTCTCTAAGATGACCTTATTCAGTTCCTGACAGTTAGTCAACCTAAAGGTGGTTGTCTTTAAGAAAATATTAGATTACCCAGAAAGCTCTGTGGTTTTTCAAATAAAACTACTTTTTCTTCTAATTATTTTGTTACTTCTGATAAGGTGTGATTTTTGCTTGAAGCAGATGTGTAAATATGGTCTTTTCTGCTCACGTTGCATAATTATAGCATGTGTTGTGGCATAATTTTTGTTTCAGAGCAGTTCTAAGAATGGGGAGCCCAAAAGTTTTATTTTCTCCATATTATGTGTTTTATTTTTAAAAAAGGGGAAAATGCTAATTAGAACTGCTAACATATATGCTTCAAATGGGAACCAAGTCCTATTTCTGATGACAGAGGTGGTTTGAAAAATTTAAGTGCAAACATTTCAGCTTCAAAGACAATGCACACTTTGGACAATCCAAATGTGAATAAGGATCTGTTAAAAGAAGCCACCACTGAATATCCACATTATAAAGTTAGGAACTATCCAACAAACTAAATATTCAAAATATGCAGTAGGTGGATCTTTTGAAAAAAAATTGGTATGTAAGTCACAATGATACGTTATTTTCCCATACTTTAAGAGAGCAAAATATGCCTGCTCATATTTTGGGATGTGGTTCGTTACTGAAAAAACATAAAGAATCTCCTTTTTTGAAATGTTTCATTACTGAAGAGAAGTGGATACTATACAATAATGTGACAAAAAATATCGTGGATAAGTCAAAAGAACCTCTTTTAGTAGCATCAAAAGGAGGGGCCTGTGTTCCAAAAAAGCAATGCTTTGTGTATTGTAGGACTGCGAGGGAACAGTATATTAGGACTTGTTACCACCAAACAGACAATAAATTCTGAAAAATACTGTTTCCAGACAGAAGTTTTAAAAGCAGAAATTGAGAAGCAAAGCACCTGGTACTAACCTATCTTCAAGGTGTTTTCTTCCATCATGACAATTCTCGTCCCCACATTTCAATACATGTCAGACAAAAACTTATTAAGTATGGCTGAGATGTTTTGTCAATCCTTGTATTCACCACTTCTTACCCCATCAGATCTTCATCTCTTCAGGTCACTTCAGAATTCACTGAAAGACTTGGAGTTCACTTCTGTGGAGATAGACCGACAGCACCTTGATAACTCCTTTGCAAATAAGTCTAATAATGTTTTTGAAGAAAGGAATTTTTCAGATGGCAGAGAGATGGCAAAATGTTGTAGAACAAAGGGTGCAGATGTGATTCAATGAAATTTTCATATGTTTTCATATTACTTCATTTATATTTAACATAAAAAAAACCACAGAACTTTCTGGATGACCTAATAAATATTGGTAATGTTCATTACTGTTAAGTATGTTTTCAGAATTACTGGTAGCTTTCTGGGGTGATCACTCTGAGCATTTACATTGTATTTTTAAACAAATTACAGTGCCTTTGATGGTATGTGATTCAATATTTACATTTTTCCATTTTAATAGATTTCCTACAGAACCTGGTTCCCAGGCTATTAATTCAGCTTCATTGCACACTTAAACATTTAAATCTGCAAAACTTCTTATATTTATAAATGTGATTCTGTAAAGCATAAAGTAAAGATGGAATTTTATATTATATATTTTCAAATAAAATTGTGCAGAAAAAGGCCTTTGAATTCTTTTCATTTTAATGTCATTTACTTAGCTATGAAGCAGCTGAAATTTTATGACTAAATTTCACATGAACTTCTTGTGGTATTCATTCATACAAGTCAGGCCCACCAGCGGCCGAGCGGTAAAGTCGCTGAACACTGGTAGTTCGGTCCGAGGTTCGAATCCCGCAAACGGGCTGGCTGCATGGGTGTTTTCGTGGTTTTTTCCATGTGTAACGTGTATACGAGCCAGTTTCCCTTAGAAAGTCCTCCACGAAAGGCATCCCTCCTCTTAGGCAGATAGCTCTAGTGTGCTTTGCCATAATTAAATACACACATTCATACAAGTCAGCTATATATACTGAATAGTATTATAATATGACAAAAGCAATTATACATAATTTAAAATGTACCGTGGTGATTATGAGTATCAAAAAACATACATCATTGGTAGAATATCTCTGGTATTAAGTATTACATTGAAAAGTTCAACTTCAGTTTAGTACTTAAATCGAAATGAGCAGCAACTTGTGTTCCGAGTAATTTACGGAGTATTTTAAGGCATGTTGTCTCTAGACCAGTTACAGATAGCCTTCAGGAAAAAAAGGCAGAGCATAGGTAGATGGCAAGTTTGCAGCCTGTTCTTATTGTTTTGTAAGAGAAAATCATCAATTTTAACACCCTTGACATATGAATAAAATTCAAAGCTGATGGGCTTAAAAATTATAGGAGGAAAACTTTTTAAGTACGTGAAAGAGGAGAAAAAAATCTATCACTTTGTAAATAGCATAAGAGTATAAAAATTATATTATATTACATGTAAAGAGTTTTATAACTTTTGTCTTAACAGAACTCTGTTGCAATCTGCTGGTTCAGGGAAAATTTAAACACTTCGGTAAATGTGCCAAGTGATCGAACTAGGTAGACCTAGTGTAAAAGTTGAAAAATCACTAATAATAAAAAATCAGAAATATTATCAAAGAGATGATAATTAAGCTTTGCTTGTTTGTCAGACTTCTGGGAACATATGTAGTTGCCTTGAATTAAAAAGAATCAGCTCTGTAGACAAACTTTATTAACAATCTAAAAACATGAAATATTCTTTAACAGAAAAATGGCCTGCAGCACAGTGTGGCTAAGAAAGTTATTCTGCTAAAAATAAGCATGAACAACTGTTGCTGTTCACAAAATTCCAGTAGTAAAATAAAACATGTTGCCAGTAACATGCTTATTGTATAAATGATAACATAAAATTAAATGCTGAGAAAATAAATAAGGCAAAAGAAAAAAGACATGCAAATATTAAGTGTACATCCAAACAATATGAATAAGAGTATGTTAATCCCCTTAAACAGAAAAAAAAAATATTCTAGCTGATTTAGTTAGTGCTAACAAATGAAGTAAAAAATATATATCGCTCTATAGCTTACAGTAGCAAATTGTTTGTATCAAGATGGGAAAAAAATCAATCACATTATGATCTGGGAAAAAATATCACATCATAAATTAACTATTTGGGCTGTGTATTCAGTAAGCTAAACTCTGAGAGTAACTGCCATTGTTTTTTGGACATATCATTAATTGTCGTTTGTCAAAACAACTTAGCTGGTACCCTTAGAAAATCAGTACCTCAGACCACTATTTATTACTTCTATGCTGTGAGTTGACCCTATTCTGTAAAATACATTGCCAACTTCCTTCTCAAGAAAGAAGTGTATTTTTGCAGAATTTCTGTTAGGTTTAATATTTTGACTGAAATATGGTGATTATCTCTTTTAAAGGTACAAGAGAGAATAATAATAAAAAAAAAAAAATTAGGGGAGGTAGGTATTGCTCTATTACACTTTTTAACCATCTGCATGCAAGGCTGTTTGTGGCAAGAATCATGAACCTGTAGCTTTTATAGTGTTCTAGGACTTATACTATGTGTCTTAAGTATATAATAGATTTGCCAAAGTATGGGCCTCATCTTTATGATGACCTTGAACATGCCCTGAAACTGATACAGTGCATCTGAAAGTTTTGCTTTTTGGCACTATTGAATGCTAAGGACTAGAACTGCAAGAGGTTTCTTTCAGTGAAATGGGAAATATGTGTATCTTTAATTGTACTGCAAATTGCTTTTTGCATGAGAAATAGAAAGCTCACATTTCTCACCAATAATGAATTTAAATCTTTTACGGTAAGTCGAAGAATCCTTTGTGAAATATGTTTAAGCTCTCGAATACTTTTTCATGTTCCTTTTTAAAAATTAATATGGAGTAAAGTCATTTTAATTATTTTTGTTAGCTGCATCACAAACTATTCAAAGCTTCACGGCACACCCATTGAGAACCACCGTATTAAAACCTCTAGAATAAGGAAAATGAATGTTTGAAGTACTAATTTCTATATCTTGTGTAATTCATATACTTCACAAGTTAACTTTGAATTAAATGACTGATTTTAATGTATGTTTACTTAGAGTTAAAAAAAAAAAACCTTACTAATACTTACTATCAAAAGGTTATTCTTTATGATTATTTAATTTAATTTTGCTGTTCTGGTATTACTGCGTTTGCCTTTCTATGTATTGTTGTTTTATTTATATCTGAAAGAAGTTTGTTAAATGTTGGTTCTTTTTGTATGCTTCCCTTTATTTGTCTATAACATTATTGTAAATAATTTTAATCAACCTTTTTTACCCTTAATTAAAGCAGAAGCTTTTAACCTGGCATGGCGGTTTTCTGTTATTTTTTCAGCATGATATTTGTGTGTTGTTTTGTCTTCTGATTTTACAGTTTTGTTTATTAAAGTGTGTTCCACTTATTATGTTGTGCTCAATTAAGATATCTCTAAATACAGTGTGCAACAAACATAATTTTGCTTAAAATATTATTTTTCAGAAATGCAAATTTTGTCAAGTTTTTTGTGTATTTTAAATAATAAAAACTATATTTGAAAGCAGTTGGATTTTTATTTATTTATTACATTTAAAGTTACAAGAGCTAGGAGGCTTACCTGCTGGCATTGAAGATGTTTGGATATCGTGTGGAAGGCGCAAAGAATGTTCATATACTTTTGATATGACTCGAAATGATAATCTGATTTTTAATGACAAGTTCAAGCCACGATGTCGATTTGATAGAGTTTACATGCGACGCAGCTCGCCTGAGAAACTGAAGCCTGCGTACTTTGGTTTAATTGGACTAGAAAGATTATTACCTCACAGATGTTTTCCAAGTGATCACTGGGGTGTATTATGTCATTTTGAAGTGGAGTAGTAAGTTTATGCTCTGTAATCAATTTTTAAATTGTTTTGATTCATATGAACAGTTTTTAAAACATTTATTTATTTTCTATAAATTAAGCACAAAGCAGTTTTATTTGGATTAGTATTTATGAATATGCATTAAAGTAATTTATTACTTTCTTGTGCAAAGTCAAGAAAGTATTGTAATAGCAAAAAATTCTGTGTATCATATTGCAACGGAAGTAGATCTTTTTACCACTCCCAAATTCATTTGGACAATTTTTAATTTCCCCCCCTCCCCGCCATTTTTAAAAAACACCTAAAGGTGTATAAAGCAAAGTGTCCCTTTTTGTTGGTGGCTTTACAAACATTCAGATGATCCAGTTTTATGTTTAGTAGTGGTAAAAAAAGCTCTGACAATGTTGATATAAAATATTTTGCTATCAGGCTGAAGCTTTTGTAATGGCCAGTAAATGCACATTATTGTAAGGTCACCATAAATCATCCATTCATGTTCATTTAATTTTATGTACAAGGCCTTAAATTAAAAATTTATCATTTTACTGGAAATGTAGAGAAAGCTCACAGAAACAAGGAGACATATATTTGCCCATTAGGCAAAAAAGACCATTTTGTTGCTTCTTTTACATAGATCAATAACAAATTTTAAATTCTTAATTTAAAAAAAAAAAAATTTCTTAAATTGAACATTCATGATTTAAATCAAATTTGTAATAAATTCTTATTTAATTTCTGATGTGTTCATTTTAGATTATTAAAAATCTGTTTGTGATTAATTTGTGTTATAATTTCATGAAGAAGTATTAGCATACTTACCGTATTTGATGGCATATAAGACGCACTTTTTTTCCTAAATTTGGTCTCAAAAAAGTTACCTGCGTCTTATATGTAAAGGTAATTGCATTCAATAATTATTTATTTGGCTTTTACGAAACGTGAGAACTAAAAGAAACCACGCTATTGAAACTTTTTTTTCCTTGTGTGTGGCCGTCTAAATAAGGGTGTGTCTTATATGCCAGTGCTTCTTATATGCCATCAGAAAGAAAAGTTTTCAAAAAAGTTATATACATAACACAATTTTTAACCTTCTGGCAGGCCCATATTTTTGCTGAGAAAGCACCAATTTCCCAAAACTATCATAAGAATTATTTTCTTGATTTTTAATTAGAATACCCTTGACACTTTATACATGGATTTATGAACTTTTAATATATTACCTTGATGTCTTGGACATATTTTGAGATGCATGTGTGTGTATGTTCTTACAGGCATCACGAAAAATATTCTAGGTCATATATATATATATATATGGCCTTGTTGGCCAGAGGGTTAATGCCATTTTTCAATTCAGTATCCATAATACAATAATAGTTGAGTTCATCAAAAGAAGAAAGAACAATTTTTTTTCTATATCTGGCTTGCATAATTAATAATTTTATTGTAAATTCAGTTTCTTCTACAGTCTACTCAAATATATTTATGCTTGCATATAATTTTGTAATTTTTTTATGGAACCATAATATTTTAGTTTAAAGGGCGAGGTATGATTCAAGTTGACATTAAAAAATAAACTTACCTGCTCTATCACTAATTATGTAATGAAAAATTAAACTCATAATACCAGAATCTTTCACTTTGATTGCCACAGTTTTCTTTTAGATAGATTTTGTAGACTCTGAGTTACTTGAAATGGAGCAAATTATAAATATTTTCAGTGAAATTTTAGTGTGGTGATTCTATTAAACTGCAGTGCTGTATCCTATCAGTATAGTTGTTAGCTGGCTGCCATATCATTTGGCTTATGTGCAAATGTTGGGAAAGTTGTGGATATTAGTAAATGTGCAGTCTCTTTGTAGTATGGGGCACTTAAAATCCATCAAATCAAAAGTTCAAGAAGTTGGAGTTGAGAAAAAGATTCAAGGCCCTTGAATTTTGTCCCATTGGGTGTTCTTCATCAAAAGTGGTATGAAGCTATGAAAAAAGACATATAGGTGCCCAAAGTCTTAGCCAATGACCTGTGCTATTTTTTCCTTTTTTTCTGAATTGAGTTCATATGATCAGGAGTATATGCAACCACAGCCATACTATATTTTAATTGAATCAAATCATTCATGTGTTCATTATCATTTTGAAGTCTTTTTGTTAGCAGAATGTGTGCATTGTTCTTAAATTATGCATAATCATTATGCAAATACTGAAAAATAAAATTTTTTCAAGTAATGGTAATATTAGGAAATAGTCTTTTAGTGTGTTCATTAGTCTACTAGTGACTAAATAGATGAGCTCATTAAGCTCAGACTGTTTCATCCTAGATTGAGTTTCGAAAAATTTCTGCTTGAATAAATCATCGTTGAAGTATTATTAATTATTATCCAATAATGTTTTTATATATCTGTCATTGTCTTTTAGTTATTTAGATTTAAAAAATATATAAAATAATTGAAGTGTAACCTAATAGAAATAGTTAAATACTAAGCAAAGGCATCAAAAGTTAGAATAATAAATTTGGAAGTTCATTTAATTAACTTTAATACTTTTTATGTTTTATCTGAATTACTAAATTTGAGAATTTTTTTATAGGGAAAGGAAGGAATATGGCATGGCTTATGCAAGTTTTGGTTTCTCTTTTACTCCATTTCCTTATCTGTAAATTTTGTTAAATGTCCAAATATTTTGTAATTTTTTATGAAAAATAAGTGATGTGTAAAAATTCTAAAAAATGCATTTTCTTTTTATTATTCTTACTTCTTTTTTCAATTTGTCTTTTAATTTGCACCTAATACAGAAATTGTATTCTCATTACTGAAAGCAGTTTAATATGTTTTGTATTTCCTCCATATGTTTGTGTTCACATAAAAGTTTACATTTATTTTTACTGCTCATTTTTACTTGTAAGAATTGTAAAGAAAAATAAAGTGTTTTTATTACAAGATAAGACTGCTGTTTTCAGAAGCATTCAAAAAGTGATCAGTTCAGCTAACATTTAAATTACACATTTGGGGGGACAGATGAGGGAATAGTATCTAATAATTTAAATATTTTTGTAATTTTAAATGTTTATTAAATATAGGTGTGGTTGATTTTTGGCAACAAGTGAGAGCACATAAGTTCTCAAATTTCTGTTGAATGAATGTACTTGTAAATGTCAATATTTAGAGTTAGGAAACTTTTCACATTGTTTAATGTATTATGCATTACATTAAATTACACAACACTGTTAATTAAATTATTAAAATCCTATATTTAAAATTTTAGTATTTTTATAAGTTTATATAAAATTTTACCCGCATAGACAATTTGGCTTTCTTGAATATGTTTTTTCTTACTATTTGCTTGACACATTTATTTAAACTAAATTTTATTATCTAAATGGAAAATATTTAAGACTTTAAATTTTATGAAAATTTATAACTATTGTTTTTTATTAAATTACTGCTGAAAATTTCAGAAATGAGAATTATTTTCTATTCTCTTCAGCAATGCATAATTAATCCGGAAGTCAAGAAAATCCATCAAGTTTGGAAATCCTCAATAGTTTTTTTTAAGTTCAGAAGGGCGTAATTACCTAAGCTAAGATAATTTATAATCTCTCAAATTTAATCTGCCTGTTATTGATTAACAACTTAAAGCTTTTAAAAGCAGTAGATCAAAATTTTAATATCTTTTTTAATTTTTAGTTGGATTAATTTAAATAAAAATGCATTTAATTCATAAGATTTCTAATTAAAAATTTTTATAGAATTATCTTTCATATTTTTCACATTTTAAATGCATAGAAGGTATATAATTTTTCCTTGTTAATATACATGTATATTCATCTAGTAATCTGTAAACGTATCACCTGAGTCAGTCTGTTTTGATAATCTCTGCTGGTAAACCATATTAAAGTTTAAAAGAACCCTTTTAACTGTTAAAATTGAGCTCTTTCAATTTTTTCCCCCTTTGTAAGTATATTATGGCAACAGAAAAAGCCAAAGGAAATGAACACCAATTATGGTACAAGTGAGGGTAATGATGTCGGTTCAAATGATTGTTTTGGCCTGATTTAGATAGATGATTCATAATATTCTGTTTTAATGCTCTTTCTAGTCTATGAGGATAATTCTGATCTTTGGTTAAATAATAAGGTGTGAAGATCTCATACCTGTTGTTTTTTTATTTGTGCCACATGTTCACATATTTAAATTTTCTGTTACCAGAAAAGGTGATATATCCTGTATTGTGTGTTTAAATCTAATATTGTGATGGCTAAATTATTTATCCTGGAAAGGAAGTTATTTTTTACTTTCATGTTGTTAGACAAACTTTAACACATGAGCAAATTTTTTAAAAAAAAGTTTGATATAAGGAGACAAAATAACGTAAGGGACATAATCCAGCATTCTGAACATTTTAAGAAGGAACATGAATTTTGCCACTAGCAAATCATTTAGTGGGTTCTTTCTAATTTTATTAAATTGCATTATATTTTACTACCAAGTTCTTATAATCTACTGCTTTTGTAATGTTGCTACTGCTTCATCATTACACTACTCTGCACTGGTGACTGAAAGCCATAGATCACCAGTGGCCTTGATAGTCAGTGGTGACCATGGTGGCCTTGGGTTAAAAAGTCGATCTAAAATTTTTCCCACTGCCCTATGCTAACATGGAGTGGTGATTGACAGCCCTAGGTCACTTAATGATGAGTGTCAGCCTATTGATCACAAGGGACTAACAACTTTCTGAGGTACAATTGTATTTCTGAATAATTTTAATATAAAATTTTGCCTGAAATTACTATAGTGCTTCTTTCTGGTAATATAATAGTTAACTCCAAGTGACCCTCAACAGACATTAATGTGCTTTTATTTTATTTTAATATTTAAATTTGCTCCATTACCCTATGATAGTACCTGAGGTTTGACCCCAAGTGATTCTTAATCTGTAAGTCATCAATGACATTCTAAAATAAAATTGATGTGAAGACTCTAAACTTACTGCTCTGTCTTACATCATTGACCTACGAGTTGACCCCAGGTGGCATTTAGGTTATTGCTGACTTTGATGGCTATTGAGAGCCACCAGTGACTACACTATATAGTTCATTAGGACGTGTTACTGGCATAATCAGAACTTCATCATAGAGACGATTTTCAGCTTGAAGTTGAAAAGAAGTACAAGTATTATAATACAGTCAAATACCGAAAATCTGCCGACTTGAAATCTGCGTTGCCTCTCAGAATGTAAATATTCAGTTTATAGGTTCCGGAAACCGCAACATTGAGTACGAAATATCGAAGAAAAAAGATAAGTAATAAAAAATAAATAAGATAAGTTTTTTCCTCTAATCTGCATCGAAGAAAAAGCAGACAATTCACTCAAATCTTTGTTCAAGTTCATAATTCACGTTGTTGTATTTTCTGAGCTTTCTTATTTCATTTCACGAGATTGTTTAGTGCTGCCTTTTTTTAATCTGGATATTTTGTGGGTAAATTAAAAATATTTTTAATTTCAGCCCTTTTTAAAACAATGACAAATAAGAATTGCACTCGTGATTTTACTGCTTGCAACGTTGAAAAACGTAAGCATGTTGCATTGACGGTAATGCAAAAAGTGCAAATTCTGCAAAAGATGGAAGCAGGTGCTACTGCTAGATTTATAGAAATTGCGACACGATTGTGTATGATATACAGAAAAATAAAGAAAAGCTGTTGAAACTGTACAGCAACGGTGATTCTAACACCGGAATCCGAAACCGGAAATCTCGATGCTGTGTACATATAATACAATGAATAATATAATCAATTTATGTATGTAATAATAATTTAATGCATATAATAAATTATTGCAATCATGTATATAATAATTTAATTAAATGTATCTAATACGCCTTATTCAGTTTGCACTTTTAGTCCGAATATTATGCATCTTTTCTGTCCTTAAATCCGCACAACCTCTGGTCCCAAGCTTTGCGGATTTCTGGAATTCTACTGTATTCATTCACATCTTTCTTGATTTCAGGCCAATAGAAAGAATATCTCGATCATTTGGCTGTCTTCTTGGTTCACAGGTGACTTCCCCCATAAACTAGAATGTGCTAAGTCCAAAATTTGTTTTCTTGTTTCTTAAGGAACAATTAACTGGTTAACTCTTTCTCCTAAAATTTTATCTTTATGATACAAAACATTGTCAATAACAATAAAGTTATTACTTCCATTCTTAGCATCTTGCCAGCATGCTTTTAAAGATGGATCATTCATTTGTTGAAACCGAAATGGTTCTGAATTCGAAACACATTGCTCTTGCCTCGTGCTATCTTTGGAATCATCCTTACCTGTGTCTTCATATGCAACAGCACAACATTCTTTTATTTTCTTAACAGTTTCATTACCCTCTTCATTAATAAGGTTTTCTCTATCATGATTAAGTATTTCACCAAAATTTTCAGTTTCATAAAAAGTCATTTCATTCAAACTATCATTAGTAATGTTTACATTTTTGCATTCAAAATTAAATTTTCTTTTGTCATCTCCAATTAATTATTAAAAGCATTTAACGACAAAAGTAAATCATTACATAACATATCAATCATTGCATATGTTATAAAAATAAGCGACATAAATTTATCTTCACAATACATCACTAAAGGTAGGTTAATGAGAGGAGCCTTTAAAGATTGTCCTAAAGCTGATGTGAGGATAGCACTTCCATGTGGCATATGGTATCTTTCTGGTACAATATCAACCTTAACAACATTTAATTGTGTGCATTTATCTGTTACTGCATTAATTAATTTATCATCCCAAATAAGTTTAACAGTTCGCAAGTCATCGATTAATTCCCCAACTTCTTGATTCACACTAAAATATTTAGAAGAAATCTTAACTCTTACAGCATTAGAATTATTCTTAATTTATTGCTTATTAACAGTTTTGTTTTAAACTGTCTTTCCCCCTTTCTTCCGGATACGTAACACATTTTTCCGAAACATGATTTCACTTTCACAAAATAAGCAAGAAAAAGTTCAAACAGCTGCAATTTTGCTTTTATTAGGATAATAGTTAGTGCCAAACGGGTTGGCGTTAAATGAATTATGAGTGTGGAAATTCGCACAACTCTCAAAATAAGGTAATTTAATGAAGTTTGTTCGTGACTTTCAATTTCCCGTTTTAGAAATTTTATGAGGTCTTCGACGTTAAAATTTTCTTCATCTACTTTCTGGCGAGCAAAATCAAGGGTTATATCCTGAGGAATACATTTCATTATTAACGGATAAAGTAAACTTCCATATGATTTAGCTTTGATTCCTATTGACTTACTTGTACGTTACACATGTCATAAAATTCTCTCAAAGTGTGAATATCATTCGAACTTTGAACAGATCATAAGTTTAATTATTTATGCATGTAATGAAATCTTTTCAGCCATATCTATCTTTAAGAATTTTAAGTGCTTTGTTGTAGTTTTCTGAATCCTTCTATTGTTTTTAAAGCTGCACTGCCTAACAGGCTAAGCAAGTAATTAAATTTGTCAACTTTGGATAATTTTTCATTTTGATATATTGCAGTGTCAAAAGTATTGTAAAATGTCTGCCACACTTCAGCATTTCCATAAAATTTATCGACATAATTTTTGGCAATTTAACATTGTAATCAGAACTTTTATTAACACCAGAAATAATAGGTAAATTATTACTATCATGGGAGAAAAACCATTAGATATTAGTGAATTAACATTTTCTTTTGATAATTTTATGTGTCTGAAATCCCATTTTGCAATCTTTTCTTCATATTCCAAGGCAATTTCGGCTTTGGTTTCAATTTCATTAGCATCAGTAACGTTTTAATTTTTTCATCCAATTCTTTCAAAGCAACTACTTTTAAAATTTCCAGTGCTTCTTCTAGGTCTTCAGTGTTACCAGCAGCCATTAAGGATTCAATAGAACTTG